GGTCCTTGCCCTCTGAATTTTCTGCAGAGACCAGCAGGACACAGAATCCTGCCTTCCGCTGGCCTCATAAAAATCACCAGAGCCATCTCAGGCCAATACTGGAAGCTGTTGTAGCCTCCTCAGTCCCTGGATATAGTCATGAATAGAGCTGAGCGAATGATAGATGGTGGTACTGAGAAATCCAGAAAAATAATTAGTATGGAACCAAATCTGAAATGTTTTCCCTTGGGTTTATTTTTCTTGACAAAACAAAACAAAACGAAAATAAAAGGAATTTGTTCAGGTTAAAAAAATTTCATTTTGAAAATGCCAATATCAAAATGGTTCATTTCTATTTTTTTAATTTTTTCCCCTCTGTTTTTCATTCAGCCAAAACTATTTGCTAAACTTGACCTGAATTCACAAAGCGTTTTGTTCACCCCCAAACTGCATTTCTTTTCTTTTTTGGGGGCAAATTTACTATTCGCTAAAATAAATTCACCCAGCAATAGTCACGAATCTACCGGGCTTGTGCCTCATCCTGTCCTCGGCACATCCATCACCACCTGGTGGTGAGAAGAGAAAATCCATTCTCCTCTACGTGGCTGGAACCAGCCTTCCTTCCCTTCTTGCATCACAAAAGCTCCCATGTTAACAGAACATGCTTGGCTGGTCTGATGGCCCATGGCTGCATAGTGCCCTGCTATGCAGGAGATCAGTGTGCTTTGCTAAGTGTGCTACGCCGCTGCAGAACTTCTGATGAAGACACTCTGTGCCGACGGGAGAAAGCTCTTCTGTTGGCAAAATAAAACCACCTCTATGAGTGGCACAAGCTGTCCCGCCAGCATAGTGCTGTCCACACTGACACTTATGTCGGTGTGGCTTATGTGACTCAGGGGGGTGGTTTACTCCCACCCGAGTGACACAGGTTATGCCAATGTAAACTGTAGTACAGACATAGCCTTAGACACTTTCCAAATTTTTATCCTTATTCTTACTTAAAAAAAAAAAAAAAAAGCTGACACTCTGGTGATCAACGGAATGGTGTCTTTGCACCACTCCAGCTAATCCTTGATCCCCACTAGAGGCACACCTCCTGCCCACTATGGAAAACACTGCACTAGAAATCCTTTTGTCCTTCAAACCATACACCATAATCATCCAAACAAAGTGCTCATAAAAATCTTCTGGTATCAGATAACTTTTGTTTGTAAGAAAAAACGAGTTCTGGGAAAGTTTAAGACATCTACGCACGGTTACATTTTATATTCACTTGTAAACAGAAAGCATCAGTAAAAACCCCGTCTGAGCAAATGGCGCTGAGATGGAGAACTAGGGATTGAAATATGTAATTGACAACGTTCTCTGCAAAACTGTACTCTGTTTGTACAAGCTCTAGCTAGAAATTTTACAGAGACAGAGCTACCGCGATAGAAATTAACGTTCCCTCAGCTCTATTGATACTATTGTTCAACACTGCGTTGAACTGAAATAGTCTTTCCAGTGTTACCCTCCCCCCATCTCCACCCTACAACCTCTTGAACCATCATACAAGAGCATGGAAAGCCTTTCTTTCCAGAGTGGATCTGATCTTGGCTACTGTATAAAGAGAGTGAGCGAGCTGCCTGGACAGGAACCGATATAATGCAATTCAAAGCTCACCTGGGAAGGAAAATAGGAAACATACATTTGAAAAACCCTTCATTCTCCTGATCTGTGCCACTCTACAGCCCTCAGCAGAGATTAATTATTTTCTGAATGTCCATTACTCTTTACCTAATATTTGCAACAGGAAGAATGCCCCAGTTTTATATTATTTCAGGTCTGTCTCTTACACACCCTGTTCCCATCTGTGCTCTCTCTACTCTTCTACCATTGGCATCTTTCTCTGTCTTCCCGCAGTCCTGCTAGTGTTGTTGCAAGATCCTTCCCCTCTGCAGCTCAAGCCATCTGGAACAGCCTTCCTGTATCACACCAACTCCCTCCCAATTTCATTTGAACACGCATCTCTCATCCCTCGCCGGTTCCTTTGAATTTCTCTCTCCTTCTGCTGCTGTTTATTATTTAACTCTGTCATTGTATTATTTAAACTGTGCTGGGAACAGAATCTGGATGAAAGCACCATTAATATAGGAACTTGGGCCTCGGCAAAAATACCATGCAAGCCAAAATCGTGACAGTTGGAGAATGAAAGATTGGATGGATAGTGGCAAAGCAGTTTCTGGAAGCCAAAAATGTATCTTCTGCCTCCGCACCTGATACAAAAAACTTCTCCGAGGTGCCTCTTGACATGCTGATTCTATGGTGTGGTGCCCCAGGCCTTCAGCTAACAACCTACATAAGACAGAGTTGCACCTTCTAGTGTCTATGTTAACACCTTCAACTGCCTGGGCCCACTTATAGTTTTGGAATGGACATAACAGGGCTGCAGCTACTCTCAACTTTCTTTAGATACTTGAGAGGATTTTTCCAAAACTGTCAACATGCAAAAATCACTACACAAGTCCAAGCCTTTCCCTTTTGCGAGAAAGTTTAAAGTCTGCATTAGTGGGATGTTGAGAGTGAATTTAGACCCAGTTCAGCACAGCACTTCAGCATGTGCATTACTTTAAGCGTGTGCTTAAGGCCCACTGAACTTAAGCATGTACTTAAATACTTTGTTGTACGGGGATGGGACTTAAATACTGCTTAAATATTTTGATAAATCAAGGCTCTGATATTTGAGTAGGTAAAATAAGCAAAGGAAACATGCCACACAGCAGCCCTGAGTTGCCCTTTGCTACATTTTTCTGCCGATTCACTCTTCTGAGAACAAGCAGTCAAATTGCGGCGGTACGTTTTAGACAAATTTGACCTGCTCAGAAAGAAGAGGGGTACATTTTTGTATGCAAAATGAAAATGTGAGCGCGCCAGGCTTAGATGCGACCTCGTGGATACGTCAATGAACTAGAACTCAGGAGACGTGGGTTCAAATTGGGGGTCTGCCATTGCTTTGCTGGGCGAGTCATGGCCCCTCCCCGTGCCTCAGTTTCCCCATCTAATAAAGATATTGCCCTCTTTTGCAAAGTGCTTGCAGCTCTATGTAAGAGCTAGGAATTATTATAAGGTTTAAGATTGCGTACAATTTTTTACGTACTCTGAAGCACACATGCAATTCAGTCAAATCTTTATTGCCCACAGATAACCCTCCAGACTATTTCTCACAGCTTGTATAGCATCTGTCACCTGAGAATCACAAAACTCTGTTAATTAATTCTCACAGTAGTCCTGTGAGGAAGAGAAGCATTATTACTTTCCTCACCATATAAGCAAAGTAAACCGCAGCACAAAAGAGTTAAAGTCAGTGGCAAATAGAGAGTCCACAGCAGTGCCAGACATAGAACCCAGAATTCCACTGCTCCGGCTCATGACGCAAGGCTAGCCACAGGCATATACTGTTTGGTACGAAATGCTAGAGCTTTTTCCCTTTTGTATTAGTCAAGCTCTTTGATAAGTGACTTACCTGTGGGGCTCGATGGAGGCTGTAGAAGAACAATAATGATTTTCTGCAAAGTCCCGGTACTTCTTAATGTTTCTTCAAACACTGTTTCCCTCCCAGATATGTCATAATTCATTGCTGGTTCATCAACACTGAGTACTTACTCTGATGAATGAACGGTGGGAATACAGAGCTAACACTTTCAATCTTGTTCCTATCATCTCAGCATGTATCATAAACAAGTTTTAAAGGATTTTTTTACACCACTCATATATGGCAGACTGAATGTCTGCAGGAACTAGTAACAGGAGACAGGCTGTCAGTTCCCACAAGGACTAGGCTTGATAGTGACCAAAAGCTGGTAGGCCACCCAAAAGCACTCAGTTGTTATGTGAAATCACTGGTCATCCCATAGTAGCAGAGAAATACTGGATATAGTTGTCCAATATTCCTATCTCAAACAGCAGGCCAGGGAAAGGTGCAAGAAACCCTGCAGGAAGCGGTTACGAAATAATATGTCCATAGGGAAAGTTTATACCTAACCCCCAATGGTTAGAGGATTTCTTATGTCCTGAAGCACTAACGTTTATATCCCTTCCAAAATTTGGGGGTGGACGTGTGTGTGTGTTGGGGGAGGGATAATCCTTACTATAACAACTCAACATAACCTTGTCATCATACAAAAATTCAATCCTTTTTGGAAGCCTGCACAGCTCAGTGCAGTTGTCAAGTTTACAGGTAACCACACTGCAAAAACGCCCATAGCATTTGGCACTGGCTGACACCTTAGTCGGGAGTCTCAGCACCAAGGGCTGCATTCACATGGAATGGGAGCTATCGGCTTACCCTGTTAGGGAAGGGTTGAGGCACGTTGATGGGTCAGCATAGGAGCAGCTTGCAAATGGCACTGCCAGTCTACTTGTTCTGTGATAAACAGGGCGTTTCATTATCCCCAGACTTTGATCCCAAATTGTTCGACATAGTGTATCTCATAGAACACACGTAAGCACCAATAGGATATGATCAGCATTCTAGACATTTGATTAATTTCAGCTCAGTTCTGCCGGCTTGGAGTGCATACTAACTATTACCACATTGATGGCGAAGAGTGAAATATGACGTCTAAAGGGAGATCACCTGATGGGCAACCATATAGATTATATTTCTATTTCTTTCCCTCATTAGACAAACTAATTTATTTTCCCTTTAACACAGATGTTTGCTTTGCATTCCAATCAATATTCCTTGCAAAACCCAAGTTCCCAACAAGGCATTGCAAAAATATCAAAATCTATTCAAAAGCACAGTTCTACACAGCCACAAACCATCAAATTCTCTCTCTTCTTCACACGTCAAATGCAGAGAATGAGAAAGCCACTCCACCAATACAGTATGGTCTTATGTGGATCATAACAGAACTGAATAACCTTTACACAATTGTTCCATCTCAGCAAAATATTTCATGCTTCAAACCATTTCATTGTTTCTTGAGATAGTGATATTTGCTCATTGATGTTGCTTTAAAAAAAAAAAGATCACTTACCTGCCAGAATATGCTGTCTATTGTATTTCCAAGAAAACCATCTCTCCCTTCTGAAGATACCAGCTTAGGTCCAAGGATGGTCATAAATTCATCAAAATCAACCTGGCCATCCCCTGGAATGAGAGGGAAACTATCAATGAGTCTTAGTTGATTGGTATCTCAAAGGTCGCTCAAAAGTCCATGTGCCACCCTGGATAGCTCTGCCCCCTGGAAAGAAAACAAGTTATGAACCAATGAGTGCATCATCCAGACTCCATGATCACCAGCAAAATCACATCTGTTGCATGGGGAACAGCTCTCATTTCCATTCTTATTAGTGGTTTAATATTATATTACTATCCAAAGAGCAGCCAAGATCGGGGCCTCATTGTGCGAGGTGCTGTACAAAAAGAGATGAAAAGGCTGTCCCCATGCCCTGCTGAGGTTACAAGCAAGTCACTTCTAAAAACCAAAGATTCTCGAGTATTTCAGCAAGATCGCAACTTCCATTAGCTGTAGGAGGGAGGCAGCATGGCAGCACTGGACTGCGACTCAGGAGACTTGGGTTCTCTTCTTAGCTCTGCCACTGGTTTGCTAGGTGACCTTTGTCCCATCACATCATCTCCCTGTGCCACGAATTCCCCATCTGTAAAAAGTGGGGATAATGATACTGATCTCCCTTGTAAAGTGCTTTGAGATCTGCAAAGGAAAAAGCTCTGTGTAAGAGCTAGGTATTAATTAATTTATCATCATCATCATCCTGTTTGTAAATCAGCCTGTAGAGAGTGAAATCTTCCCAAACTCTTATCCAGGTCCAATTGCATCCTGCAGCGGAGGTTACCATGTGAAGAACAGCCAGGCAGTAATGTAACCACAAGGCAATTAATATCAGCTTTCATCAATGTGTATCTCCTAAAAGTCCTGTGTACTCTGTATGCAGAGAAGACAGTGTAGACACAGATCCAGTGTCGTTAGCAGAAAGAGGAGACTGCTCGTGCCACTAATGAACTCAGCCTGTGCAGTCCCATGACCCCGCAGTATATTGTCTATTTTGTAAATGAGCCCTGACGCTGTTTGTAGTGCGTCCAAGTATTAATTATCACCTGGGAGGACTTTACAGAAGGATTAATACAAAATGCCAAGAAAGAAAGAGAGCGCTTCTCTAGTGGTTAAGGAATCTTTCAAATACTTTGCTTTTCCAGGTTTTAAAAAGGTGAGTGCAATGCACATCTGCCTCTTTGTACTTTTCAGCTCCCTATCACCACACTACCAGATCACCTCACAATCTTTTAATGCATTTATCCTCCCACCACCTCTCTGAGGTAGGGAAGTGCTGTTCTCCTCATTTGACAGTTTGGGAATGGAGGCATAGAAAGATTAAGAGACTGGCCTAGGGCCACATATTGAGACCAGGTCCACATTAGAAACGTTTGCGGATATGGCAATGTCATGTAAAGGGTGTGATTTTTATGACAAGCCCTAATATAAGTGCAGTTATGCCAGCAAGAAACTGTTTTTGCCTGTGTAGCTTATGTTATCCAGGGAGCTGATACAAGTACTCTACCAGCAAAAAGCACTCTTTTGCCAGTATAAACTGGCTACATCAGGGACGCTTTCTAGTGCTGTTCTAGTGTAGACGTGGCATTAGCTGAACCCGGGTCTCCCAGGTCTCAAGTTAGCACCCTGATCATTGGGACCTTCCTGCTTCTCTTCCCGATCCTGCACCCATTTAACCGAGTGGGAACAGATTGGCCCCACAGGTGATTGTGTGGGTTTTGTTCTTAAATTATCAAGAATTAATCACTATTAAAAGATCAGACTAGAGCAGCTCTGGACAGTGGTCATTAGGAAAAAGCCAGTGTTAACCGGGGTATCTTAGATACTGCGGTGTGCGGTTACTTCTGAGTAAATACTGATTAATGGCAACACCTCCATTTGCATGTACGCGTGTGTTTTGTGGGCTGCAGGTATTTGCCCTTTTCAGTGTAACTAAGATAATTGTTTGCTGTTCTCCATTTGTACGTATGCCTCATTTGTTGAAATCTATATAAACTAAATTCTTATCCGAGCAGAAAAACTATGTCAAATAAGCCGAGCAGAGATGATTCCCTTTCCAGAACGATGATCTCTACCCACTCAAGAGTGCAGTCAATAATTTTCAGGAAGACACGCAGAGATGGAAAGAACATTTTGAGGGGGAAGCAACAAGCATGGCTCTGAAGAACATAGCAGGGATCCATAACAGGCTCAATCCTGCCAGCTGCTGAGCAGTCTTGCCCCAAACCAGCAAGGCACTTCAGTTTGCGCATCGCTTCATTCATATCATTGGGAATGATCCTCACACACTTACAGCTAAGCATGTGCTTAATGCTTTGCTGGATCGCACTCAGCACCTTATAGGATTCAGCCCCATGATAGAAGAGTCAATGCCAACATTCATTTCATGGATAGTCTGTTAAGGGCAAGGCGGGGGTGGGTGGCATAGGGACCCCACATCTTTGAGAGCAGATTTTTGAAATATTCATAGGCAGAAAGACGGTGCTCTTTTTGTTTCCCTGTGGGAGACAGAACTTTGTGACATCAAGTCAGACTGTATCAATCACATCACACTGGATCATGTTGTGGAATGCAAGGTGACAGTGAATTCAAGATGATGTACACGGCAATGCCTTGCTTAGAAGGAAATGCTGTAATAGAAACACATACTACCTTACAAACTGGGTTAAAGATATTAGCCAGATTATCAAGAAAACAATTTGCATTTTAAATAGCTACTAGTACCTGACCACACATATATTTGCTTCTTCACGTCTGACCCCAATATATTGAATTATCCACATAACATTTTCTACTAGAGACAGTGTCATTTCATTTACTAAGAAGAGAAGCCGGGAGTGCTGCATAATAGAACAAGTGTCCAGACTTCTGGGCTCACTTTCTGACTTACTAGAACTTTGGCCAAATCATTTATAGTCACCACTCTGTGCCTCAGTTTACCCATCTAAACATAATGACTACTTCAACAAGGCTGTTCAGGGGTTGAATTAATTTAAGTTTGTACAGTGTTTTGAAAGCCTCCAATGAAAGATGCCACAAAAGTGCAAAGATATTTTATTTCCTTATTTGCTGCACTTTCAGTTAAAACTGGTGACTAGCATATGACCTAAGCAGAACCAGGATTTTACATAACAGAAAAGGTCCCTTTGACATTTCTTTTAAGCATAACAAAATAATCACTTCCCACCATCAGACTCACAAGAGATCCTGTATCAGAGATAGAAATCACAATTTAAACCAAGAACTCCTTTTATGGTATTCAACAGTCAACAGAAAAATCCTTAAATACTGTACCAGTGTACGGATCATGGGAATGAACATAAAGGGCTACTTTCTGTTCTCAGGTATACCCCATGTAATACTGCTGTAATTGCAGAATTAAAATCAATGGGGTTTCTCTCAGGTATAAGGTTCTGTAAAGGGATGATGCTGAATGAATTTTGCTCCCCCTCAGATCAGCAGGAGTTAAGATCGACTCAGAGGACCGCTCAGCAAGGATCAGACCTTAACTGAAGGCAGAATTTGATCCACAGTTGCTCTTTCCTCACTCCCTTAACAATCTCAGCTAGGCACGTATCTCATCGAATTATAATCTATGATGCATTCAATCACATTCAGTACCTATACCATGCCTATAGAAATCCTCGTTGGCAGAGATTATTAGATATTCAGAGCAATCGAATGCCATCCTATTCAGAAATTTTAGGTTTCAGCAGAGATGGGGCCAAGATGCAAAGTTTGGATCCAAATGTGACTATCCCAGGCATTTGAGGGTGTTTGGATTTGATGGCACTCTTCAGCCATTAGACAGATAGACCTGAGTCACACAAATATGAAGCCAAACTTCCTCAGGGTTTGGGTGGGCTTGAATCCCATGTTCTGGTCTGAGCCCACCTCCAGCTTTATTAGCACATATTTTTTGTGTCATGCCCAATTCCTGCAGTTCTCTCTATGCCAAGAGATTTGCAATGTGTACACCGTCCACCTTCTACACCAGTCTCCCCTTCCTTCAACCTGCAATTTTACATTAATTACCTTAGCAAATCCTCTTCGCATTCAAGGAACTACCGTCAAGGGCAATTTGACCAGCGAGGCAAGCTAATGCAAATTAAACAGCAGGCACGGGGAGTGAGAAGATGCAAATCTGTTGCTTGTTCAGCTCAGATATTCCATTTCCCTTTTAGTGATGTAGAGCAGTATCCTCTTTTCCCTGATCTCATCAGTTTTAAACGAGGAATATGTTTATAAATCTGACCCATACTGCGCTCACTGCCCTGATTGATTATGACCATCAAACACTACTGTGACATTTATAAACCCAAGGTGCATAGAAACTCTACTAACGCAGTCGTACAAAGCTCATGGCATGTCAACGCCTAAATATTTGTAGCCAACCGCACTTCAAAGCTTCCCAGCATGGAAAATAGAGTAACATTTTCAATAGTGGCCAAGTTACACCTACTCCTAACTAGTAGGTCAGACTGCAGGACTGCAGCCATGGCCATGAGAGAAACAGAGTTGAAATAAGGTAATACACAACATGGAAGGTCCTCACTATGTATTATTCTTCCCTAAAGCCAGTTCACTGGCTTCCCTTTGTCTACCTAAAAGAGGATTTTTCAAAGAGTTGCTCTATGAATTTTTCTGCCCGATCCCCTATAATACAACCCACTAACTGTCTTCCACTAAGGTCAAAGTGGAAGATGGGCTGGAAACTGTATAGCTAAAACCTTGCATAACAATGGAAATATAGCCCAGAACATATGTCATTGCAGTGTAACGTTAATGGGATGAACTAGACCCTACTGTTATTATTGTCTCTCCTCAATGCACAGGAGACATTATTCTAGCAAATAGATGCATCAAGTTACTTGCTTTCTTCCTTGCTGCTTAGTTCCCCCACAGCCCTAGGCAGTCTTTCCCTGCTTTAAGACGACGGAACATAGCACATGGCCATTATCCTTTCATTGCTTGGGTTCGGTTGAACTCTAATGACAATGAAGAGCCTGGTTTGCTCCCATTTCCTGGAGTGGGATCGCGAAAGGGAGACCAATTCTCTAGCAGTGAGAAATCACTC